CAAGGTGTCAAGCCTGGGTGACTGGGAAAATGGTGATACCTTTCATAAGAATAAGAAAGTCAGGAAGAGAGTAAAAGAATTAAGTTCTGTTTTAGACATCTTCAACTGTGTTATTAGCTGGAGACCCAGGACTAGAGGACTGTCCAAAAGGCAGTTAGTTAGTTATTCAGGACTGGGGCTCGGGAAAGAGATTAGGTCTAGCTAAATAGATCCGGTAATTATTTCTATAGAGATGACAAGTGATGAGAACACAAAGTGAGTATAGACAGAAAAGAGAAGTGGGTCCAGGAGAGAAGATTGGGGAAACATCTACAGCTAGTGAGCAGGACATTTATAAAGACTCACAAAGGAGACTGAGGACTGGTCAGAAAGGTAGGAAGGAGATCCAGGAAAGGGCAGCGCACAAAAACAAAAACAAAAACAAAACAAAACTAGAGAGAACTGAGAATCCAGGAAGGTGTTTGGCAGTATTAAGGTTGTAGAGAGGTCAAGAAGGATGAGGATTGAGAAAAGGCCATTAGATTGGGCAGTAAAGTGATCCTTGGTAATGTTAGAGAGAACAGTTTCACTGAACAATGAGATCTGCAGAGAGTTTAGAAATGAGTGAGAGGAGAAGTGGAGGCTTTGGTTAAGAAGGGGAGGAGAACACCGGCCCTGAAGTCAGGAGGACCTGAGTTCAAATCCGGTCTCAGACCAAACACTTGACACTTACTAGCTGTGTGACCCTTCGCAAGTCACTTAACCCCAATTGCCCAATTGAAAAAAAAAAGAAGGGGAGGAGAGATATAGGACCATAGCTACTGGGGATGGTCAGATGAAGCGAAGACTTTTTTTTTTATAAGGATAGGGGAGACACAGGCATATTTGTAGGCAGTGGTGAACAGCCAATAAGTAGAAAGGAGAACACTGAAGATTAGAAAGATACTGGGGATGGTTGTGGGAACAATCTTCTAGAGAAGATGAGAGGGGATGGGGTCAAGGATGCATGTAGAAGGGTCATCCTTGACAAGGAGAATGGCTACCTCTTCATGTCGGTGATGAAAGAGAGGATAGTAGGGGGAAAGATGCCTGAGTGATTGGAGAAGATGAGGAGGGGATGAGTGAATGGTCTCAGTTTTTTTGGTGAAATACAGGGTAAGGTCCTCGGCTGAGGAGAGGGGAGGAGTGTGGTAAGATACCTGAAGAGGGATGAAAAGCTTTGGAACAGCCCAGGGAATGAGTGGAAGGAAAAGTGAATTGACTGGGGAGTCACAAAAGGATTGCCTTTCTGCTGTGAGGGCCCAGTTGAGGTTATGTAACATAAATTTGTAGTACATCAGGCAGGTAGGGTGCAAGTTGTAGAAAATACAACCTACTTTATTCTGAATCTTTATTTGGAGGAATTCATTCTTGTCTCCTCACTCTTTCCTTCACCCTACGTATACTATATCTCAGTATCCATCCCCCTCTCTCAAGCCACACCAAAATCTTCATTACCTCTCACCTGAATTATTGAACTAGCCCCCTAATTAGCCTCCTTGCCTTATGCTTCCTCTTCTTTCTTCCAATTCACCCTCAACAAGCTGCCAAAGTGATACTCCTAAAGCGAAGGTATAGCCATGTTACTCTCCTGCTCAAGAAGCATCAATGACTCCTTACTACCTCCACGATCAAATATAAATGACTCTGGCATTTACAACTTGACTCTAGACTACCTTTCCAAGCTCCTTACACATGACTCCCTTAATACACTCTTACAGTCCAGCCAAACTGGGCTTCTTACTGTTCTTTACATTCAACTCTCATTATATTCCACCTTCTATCTCTGTGTCTGCGGTACACTCTTTCACCTCCATCTCTTACAATTCAGTTTCCCTTCAGAGATCAGCTCAAAACAGGTCTTTCCTGACCCTCCCTCCCTAGCTGCTAGAACTATCCTAAACTACTGGGGGGAAAGAAGGGAAATTATGTTTAACTTGAATATATTTTACATATGTCTCTATGTTGTTTCCTCTCATAGAATAGGATCTTTGAGCCAAGACTTCCTCTTCTGTCTTTGCACCCCCAAACTCTAGAGCCTTTCGGCTGTCTGGTTAAACCTTTGGACATCTCCTCAGAATGATGTTTTTAAAGATATAAAATATATAAAATTACAAAAGAAATATAGCTATCAAAAATGAATTTTTTTAAAGTTCAGGGACCCTAGGTTAAAATCCCTAGCACTGGGAACTAATTAAATGTTTGCTGATTGATGATTCTGTAGCAAATATACACTGTCAACAAAGATTTTTGAGGGAAGAGAATATGCACAAAGCAATTATTTCAGAAGGTTGACTAGGTAACAGTGTATATGAAAGATGCATAAACAGAAGAGAATAAGTCTTTATCTAGTAGTGCTGGCCCTTTACAAATATCTCATTGGATCCTCACAACAGCACTGTGAGGTAGATGCTGGTATTATCCCTATTTTATAGATGATGAAACTAAGACAAACAGAGGTTAAGTGACTTGCCCAGGATCTCATAGCCAGTAATTGCCTGAAGACAGATTTGAACTCCGGTCTTCCTGACTCTAGTCCTGAAGCTCTATCTCCCATGCCACCTGGCTGATTCTCTAAAAAGGGAAAAAAGACTGAAGTCAGGGAAATTATTTCAATACAAGCTAGAGAGAACAGGGGACTGAATAACAGTAGTAATCTACAATAATGATATTAGGAGAAAGTCTTCAAAGACTTAGTCTAGGTTCCTTTAGGCCAAGTCCTTCTTGACAAATTTTTATATTTTTACAGACTTCGGACTAGCACTTACAACAGTGCTATGTACTCAATAGGTGCTTAATAAATATTTGTTGATTTTTTTTTAAAGAACATTGAAAGGAGTTAGTCACTGTATTCCAGGCCCAGAGGAGGAGAAATCAAAGATGATTTTGAGATTCTGAGCCTAGGTGCCTGGAAAAATGACAGCACCAAGAAGTTGAGTTTAGGGGACAGTTTGAGGTGGAGGTGCCCAGGAAACAGAGTTGGCTTCCAGAGCCTGGAAATATAGATTTAAGAGGCTTGCAAAAAAAAAAAAAGAGGCAAAAGTTACACAGGTGAGAATGAATGAATGGATGGATTATGGCTTCCAAGAAGAAATTGTAAAAAAATAAAATCAGAAACCTAAATGCTTGAGTCCTGAGAAACACTCACATTTGGAGAAAGGAATAGGAAGTCATATAAGCAAAAGGATGTCATAAACATAGAAGCTACCAGAGTTAGGATGCATATCTACCCCCACCCTCCCACTCCATCCTCCTCTCCCAAGCTCAGGGTGAGCCAGGCTTCAAGTTCAGTGACCATTGTTACTGAGGGTCGGGTACAGAGGTAAATCTGGGCCGGACCAGAGGGGTTATGTGGAGAATACAAACCTCTGAGCAAAAATCCAACTTCCCCTTTCCTTCTCCCCCACCCCGAACCAAGTGTTCTAGTACAAAGCACATTAGCTAATTAACGCCCCAGTCTGTGCTGGCCACCACCTAGAAAATTAGTATCTGCCCCCTCCCTACTCCCCACCTACTGGATTCCTCTTCCTCTGGGTGACACCACCTTTCCCCTTTTGCTGCATCAATTTTAACAGTACTAAGGCCCAAGTGGTAGAAGCTGGAGTGAGCCAGAGCTGGGGGACTTACCCCGAAGACAGCATCTCCCCCAGCGGCTGGGTCTGGGTGGGTAGCCACAGATAGGGCTATGTGAAGTTACTGAGCCCACACGGGTCTGGCAGTTCAGGTAAAGGAGGAAACTCCGGAAAACTGGAGATTTCCTTATCCATCCCAGGTAGGGGCAGTGACACCACAAAAGACAACCCACTAAGTTAATGATCCAGAGAAGGGACTGGTGTCTGGAGGTGGGGCTAGCACAGGCCCCGCCCCTACCTGGGCAGCTTTTTCCAGAATCTCCTACAAATCCTGGCTTGACTCCTTTCCCTGTTTTCCTTGCCCTATCAAAGTAGATGAGGATTGGGAAGACAGAGAGAGGAAGAGACAGAGAGAGAGAGAGAGAGAGAGAGAGAGGAGAGAGAGACAGAGACAGAGAGAGAGACAGAGAGAGAGAGAGAGAGACAGAGAGAGACAGAGAGAGAGAGAGACAGAGAGACAGAGAGAGACAGAGAGACAGAGAAAGAGGGGGGGAGAGAGAGAGACAGAGAGAAAGACAGAGAGAGAGAGAGAGAGAGAGAGAGAGAGAGAGAGAGAGAGAGAGAGAGAATATGTGTGTTAGAAAACAAAAACCAAGGTCCCATTTTATGATCATAGGATTATAGCTGGAAGGAACTTTAGAAATCTTCTGACTCAATTTCCTCACAGTGCAGATGAAAACATTGAGGCCCATGAGGCTCACTGAAAAGATTGCCTAAGTTAGCACTGTTATATATAGCAGAGTTAGCATTCAAACATAAGTCTTGACTCCAGCCCTTGTTTCCTAGGGATTTAATATCAAATCAAGGTCCCAAGAACTTCATAACTCCACCCCTCCTCTAACCATAATTCTACCTCTTATCCTTCACTCTCCACTCTACCTGCAACCTAATGCTTATGCCCACAATGATATCTATCTTCTAGCACTGGGTGTAATCAACACATACCCAGGGGAGCAACAGACTCAGTTTGATGAGGATAAGGTCTTAATTATTTTTCCAGGGAAACTCTGTTTTTTTTCTCTGTACCATCATTCACTGACACCAGTTCCAAAGTGGTAATTTTAATTCTTTCCTATTTACCCTGTACTTTGTATATATTTGTTTGCATGCTTTCTCCTCCATTAGATTGCAAGCTCCTTGAGGGCAGGGACTGTTTTTCGCCTCTTTTTGTATTCCCAGTGCTTAACATAGTGCCTGGCTCCTGGTACTTAATAAATGTTTACTGAATTGAATTAGATATATGTCTTACAGAGTTGGGGAGAAAGGTGGATCACTTCAAAAGACTCGATAAGTTTTTTGTTTGAATGTAGAAATCACTCTATAGGGCCAGAGTAACAACTGGGCAGACAATGAGGCCAAGCATTAGTAGTATTTATTATCCTCCAGGGACAACCAGTGGTACAAGAGTTCCAGGATGATAGGTACATCTCCCTTCCACAAGAGTCATGATGGCACAGGTACTCCCTCAGGAGGCTGCCACACTGCCCCCTAATCCTGGCCCATGGGGGGGCAGAGTCATGGGTGGCAGAAACAGGGCCTTCAACTTTCCAGACAAGCTGGCAATCTCAGGATCTTGAGCCTCATAGGATTTCACCAGTCTGGCAAACTTCAGGACACCTAAAAGAATAAGTGAGAGAAGTCCATCCCATAATTACTATCCCCACACTGGCTTCTACTATTGATTGGAGGAAGCTATCTGGAAAAGTAAAACCATCCTCAGCCACCTAAATGTCTCCAGAGCAAGGAAAAACTATAAAGAGTAGAAAGTAGCAGGGCCATACCCCACAATGCATTACAAGCTTTCATCATCTCTTCTCCACCTCCAATGGGGTGGAGATTAGACCAAATCACTTCCGGTTCCATATCATGCACAACCCAGAAGTGAAGGGACACCTAAAATCTGGTGGGAAGGAGGGAGGTTACTGATTTTCCCCTACAGGAAAAAAAATAAACTGGATGGATGTGAATAGTGGGACGGGGGTGGGGACAGAGAAGTATCAATGAAGCAGTTTTATATGTGAAAACACACACACACATACACACACACACACACACACACACAATCCCACCTGTATCAACCAAGTCACTTGGAGGCGAATTATGCTTTGTTTCTACTTCCACATCTCATCCCCTAATCTCTTGGAGCCGAGATCTAGATTGGCTGAACCCATCCTGCTGAATGCCGACACCCTTAGACAGTATATACCCAAGTAGGAATCGGGAGGTGGAGGGGAAAGTGAAATGTATGCCCAAATCCTGGCTGCCACCGCGTGTCCGAAGGGGGGACAACAGCTTCAAGAAGGCCCTTAGCTCCCAGCCCCCCACCCCACATTCCACCATTAACTTGCCTGCGGCCGGGTGTGTCAGGATACACACTATTATCTTGAAAACGTATTTTTCGTCTCCTTTTTTAGAAGCCGTTGTTTAAGTAACGTGTACTTATTGTTTTTAAAATGGCTTTCGTTTAAAAGCTGGATGAATAAAAATAATGTCCTTTATGACTGAATTTTCAAAAAAATAAATAAATGAGAGGCAATAGTACACACAGGCCTCGGAGTCAGAAAAACCTGGGTTTCGAGTCCTGCGTCAGGAACGACACGGGCGGTGTCGGCTGACCACTACATGGGTCATTTCATAGGTTTTTACTGCCCTCAGGCATCGAAGACGGAGTTACTGGGGAGGGACGACTCTAATTCATGGAGCTCCCCGCACAGATAAAATCATCAGTATAGTAAAATTAATTAATTCAATTTCCCGGTGATAGACCCGACCAGACCCTCCCGCGCCCCCACACCGGACCCCATCCCCACCCCTCCCCCGTGCGGGGAGGCGAGACCCGGGCAGCCCCACCTTCCCCATCACAGCTGAATCCGTAGGCTTTGAGGACCTCCTGCTGGATCTGCGTAGCCACGGGAAGCACGAACTGCAGCATCTTGCCCATGTCGTTGCAAGCATTGTCCCGGGCCTCTTCCATGCGCACCGCGTTTTCCGGGGCCGCGAACGCCTGGATGACCTCGGCCAGGACCACTGCCCAAACCCGGCGCATAGAGGTGCAGGCGCGCGAGAAGAGGTGGCGGAGGGTGCGCAGGAGAGAAAGGAAGAGGCAGAGAGCAGCCAAGGACCGTGAGAATGAGGTAGGAGGTCAAAGGCAAACCCACCCAGCCAGCCTTCCCCACCCCCACTTTTAAATCCAAAGAGCCTCGAGGAGCTCACGAGTGAGTCTCTACCCACACCCCCCGGGTCCCTCTTCCCCCAGCTGGCAGTGCCTTCCCCAGATTCATTCTTCCTAGGTTTTCCCTTCCCTTCGGTCAGCAACAGAGAACTGCGCTCACCCTTAGCCTGCTCGGCGCTCAAGGCTGCGGGTTGCGCGGGACCCGACGCCATGGGACACTCAACAGCGTAGAACGCTTAGATATAGCTTATAAGAGCCGCGGTCACGGTGTTCATAGAGACGAAGCTGCTTCCCAAACCCGGAAGCAACGCGTCAGCATCCACGGCTTAAACGCATGAAGTTTGTTACCAGTTACCGGGCTTGCAGGGCGGAAGCAGAAAAAAACGAAGCTCCTACCCACGAGCCCGGCCAACTAATACCAAACGCACAATTTGTTTTCCCCGTTCTCAAATAAAACACTTTTTTCGTAGACGTAAGGCGAGGGCTTCCCGGTAAAACCGGAAAACCTACTAGACAAATTCTAAAAGAGCTGTAACACTGTTGAAGAAAGGTCGGGAGTGACTTGAGGGTATCCGGAGACTCCACTTTCGGTGAGGGTGAGTAAAGAGGTCGTTGTTTGAATCACTTCTCCCTGTAAGTTACGCGGAACTAAAGTATATCTGACAAACTAGGACCTGTAACTTAAGATAATATACCTACGTTTGCCTTCCAAAGTCATTAAAGTCTTGATAAGAGTCTATGCAAATACTCTTGGTGTTGATTGGACAAAAAGTCCAGGCACACCCCCTCGACTTAGAAGGAAAGCGCGTCACGGAAAGCTAGGGAGGCTGGCATCCTCGGGAAAGTTTCGCTTTAGGTTCACCGCTCGCTGAGCCTGAGCTCGGACTGCTGCGTGATCTTCCTGAGCTTGTTAACGTGTCCAGGAAGCCATCCAGCTCCAGGAAAACTGATGACTCCTGGGTGACCATTCTGCCCATGGCGCTTTAGAAACCACTTCCTAACTCCTTTTACTCCAGTCCAAGGGGGGATCCTTTGCCATGGACTTTGGGGCTTCGGGGCCTTTCCCCCGCCCCCATTCCACAAGCCTGCCTTGGTGATTTTCTGCGGGGAAAGCCCGATACCCTTCACCCCCAGGGGTCTTGGGTAGTGTGGGAATACAGGCATTGCCACGGTCAGGAACCAATTACCTTCTGGGGTCTGTAAACCAGAGGTACTTGCATTTTTGAGAAAAGTCAAAAGTAAAGAAGAGCGGATGGTCATCTGAAGACCTCCAACCAGGCCTCTGCTGACCTAATTATTCTCCCCAGTTCCTTCAGCCCTCACCTAGGCAGGCAGAAAGAGCTCTCAAAGTGACTTTTTTTGGAGAAGAAGGAATCTGGCAACGCTACCCCTTCCCCACAGGTCCCCACCTTCAGCACCGTCGGATGGCCAGTCTCCTCCCACGTGACAGCCTGTCACCCCACCCCCACCCCCTCAAATAAACCAGTCTTAGTCATCCTGGGGGATTGTGAGGATTTTTTTGTTGTTGTTTGGTTTTGGTTGGGGCCCTTTTTTTTTAAAGAGTGGCATATAGATATTTATATATATATAAATTATTAATGTGGGGGAGGAATTGTGGGGGGTATACAACAGGGGAGGCGCGCCGCACACAGGTTGGGGGGAGGGGCGGGGGCAGCACACGACGCTACGCAAAACAGCCACATCTAACAGATGAAATAATCACACCAAGGTAGGGGGAAGGGAGGAGGGGGCAACTGCTCCCCCCCAGAACGCTGGGAGGGGCAGGAGAAACAAGGAAGGGGAATCCCGGCCCGTGCTGCTGTGCGCTTTTGCTTCTCACCACACTTATCTCCCCAGTACCCCTGCCTCATCCAGCGCCCCCCACTTCTGTCTTCTCTCTGGGCTGGGCCGCTTCATTTTCCTCAGGGGGGGCTCTGGCACTGCCTGGCTATGCCAGAGAAGGCTCTCCTTCCCTCCCGCTGGTCCCATCACAAGGGTATACAGCTGGTGCTCTACAGAGGCTTGTCGTTTTCCTTCTTCAGATGACTGAAATGGGGTAGGGAAAGGAACAGGAGAGGGAAGGAAGGAAGGAGAGAAGACAATGTTTTACCCTCGGGTTGTGTGGGGTGTGAGTTGAGGGGTGGATCAGGAGATCCAGATGCCATGCTGGAAGGAATGGGGGGGGACCGTGCTCTAGACAGACTAGGGCAGGATCAAGACTGGCAGCTCTTGTGAGGACAGAATCGTTTCTGGGGGTTCATTCACACTAGAACCCTTGCTGGGAGAGAGCTAATAAATCACAGACTTGTTTGCAAGGCCTGTGAATGTGACCTCCTCTGAGGTTAAGGACTGTTTTGGCCGCTGTGTATCCCTGCGCTTAGCACAGTTTATGGAACGTAGTGAGCACTTTAAAAATGGTTTGTTGACTTGACAGCCCCATTCTTGGTCACCATCCTGCTGCTCTCCAGGCTTGGGAAGCCAGGGGTCCCTCACCTCCATCCCAAGCCAGGGAGCCTCAGTCCCAGCCACCCCCATGGCCCAGCCCCTGGTTCGGGTCTGGCTTCACACTGTGTACCTGTAGTAGTCCTCCTGGGCAGGCAGCGGCACACTGTGTAGGGGGTGGTGCGCATGTAACCACTGCTGCTGCTCCAGGGCCAGGCGCTGCAATTCAGCAGATTGGGCATGCATGGCCTGCAGCTGATGGGCTGCTGACATGGGAGCTGAGAGTGAGGCTGGCAGGTCCCGATAAGGGGTGGCTGGAGACCCGAAATTGCGAGGCAGAACAGGGAACGTGGATCAGCTGGCTTGCCCCAGCACCGCCCTCCCCCATCTCCTCCAAGCACTTCTTCTTCCCTCCCCTTAGCTCTTCCTTGACGTTCCTCTCCCTCCTCCCTATCCACCATCCTTACCGAAGAGCTGGTGACGGAGAACCTCATTCTCATGCAGGGGGTGAGGCAGGAGGGGGTTCGGGAGGGTCCCAGCTGGGTAGGGGATCCGGGTAAGATGGGACCCTGAGGCCAGAGGGTCAATAAGAGGATGCACAGAGGCAGAGGCTGGAGGCACAGGGAAGAGAGGAGGGTCAGAGCCTGAGCCAAATGAAGTCAACAGATCCAAGAAGGGTCGGGTGGGGGGTAAAGCTAGAAAGGAAGAGTTGAGGCTTGGAAAAATCAAAGGTCACTAACTAGAAGAGGAGGTATGTTAATGAAGAGGCCAGGAAAGCAAGACTGACTGGTGGGTTTGAGCAAAGGGAGAGAGAACTACACCCAGAGGCTTTACCTCTGGGAGATGAGAATAGGGTGAAAGAATAGAAAAGGGGCGGGATTAGAAAATGGACTTAGGCAGGATAGGGTGTCAGGACAATGTTTACAGGCAATGGATGGGCTGGAGGGAATGAGGGCCTGGGCTGGGTCATGGGCTGCATCCCAGGGCACAGGATGAGACAGCAGGAAGCAAGTGAAGAAAACATAGGAATCTCACTCTTATCTATAACACTAACCACAGGGACTTTCCCCCAGAAGCACTGATAATCTTGGGAAAAAGGGTGGGAGAGAGAAGGGACCTTGGTGGAAAGGTTTTCTGGTATGTTCAATATTCTGGAGAATACATGGGATAGGTACTGTCTCACTTTTATATCTGTATCCCTAGTTTGGTACACTGTGGGTGTTTGATCAAAGCTTGTTGACTAATTGACAGAAAGGAGAACAGAATGGGAAGAAACCATGGGAATTAACAGTAATTTCAGAGTAAGGCATGTTAGCCAGTAAGATATGCCTCCAGACTCTCAGAAGAGTTTGAATAAGGTATATGTTTTCAGTCATGGTCAATGTATTGATTTGTTTTGCTTTTATGGCAATTATTTGTTATAAGGGAGGATTCTGTTGGGGGGGGAAATGTGTTATTGGGAAGAGTTACAAAAATAAAAGTATATCACTAAAAGATATAAAAATAACAAATGGGGGAAAAAAGTTGAATTCCCACCAGCAAGTGAGGATGTGAGAGCTTATAAAAGTGGCTAAGTGAAACTCCTGTATGGGATTGCCCTTACAGATGCAGGCAGAATATGGGAGAGATTAACAGGATAAATTATAGAGGAGTATGGGATGGGGAATGAGACCAGGAGGAGAAGGCTGGGAACTAGACATGGAGGGTAACTAGATAGAGTGGGAGAAAACAAGGAGAGAGAACCATGATGGAAAAGGGTAGAGAAGGTTAGTTTAGAGAGATGTTTACTGCTTGGGCAGGAGGTGATGTAGGGGAAGAGCACAAACTAGATGGAGTAAAGTCCTCACCTGCATGGATGGCATCCTGCTGGTGCAGATGCAGGTGGGAGTGGATGTGGGAGTGCTGGTGGTGATGGGGAGTCACATTGAGCATCTGCAGCCGGGCCAGGGGGTCATTGCCTAGGGCTGCCACCCTCTCTGCATGCTGCCTTTCAGCTGCTAACCGCTCTGCATATGACATGTCCGGCCGAAGGGCTGGTCCAGCTGCCAGTGCCAGACGCTCACGCTCTAGAGGCCCTAGGCCTGGGTGGAAGGGGAAAGGGTGCAGGCCAGGTGGGGCAGGTTGCAAGGCCAGACCCCCATGCCGAGGGAAGGGATCCAAGCCTGGCCCAGGGACCCCATGCAGGGGCTCCAGCTCTCCAGGCTTCACCTCAAAGCCAGGCTTGAGGCGATCTCGAAGGTCACGTTCCCGGGCTTCTCGCTCTCGTTCTCGGGCAGCTGGGTCACTGCTATAGAGGGCTGGGACGTTATAGCCCAAGAGCCCTGGGTCCACTGCACCCAGGGGCACATAGAAGGGATGGTTACGATTACCAGGAGACATGACATGGGGCCGAGCATACTCGCTGAGTGTGCGGAGGGCAGGAGTGTCAGGCCCCAGGTAAGGGGGCACAGTGGCCACTGCACTTCCAGGCTCGAACGGTGGGCGGTGGGGCATAGGGCCCAGTGATGGGCACTCCACTGGGGCTCGGCCCTCCTGAACCAGCTTCTGTAGAGGAAGAAGATAAAGAAGTAAGGTGACAGAGGGACACTGAGACTGCCTACGCTTTCTGGCAAGGAGATGACAAATTCCCAAACTCCTTCCCTGTCTTATATCCTTAGAAATCTCAATCCCCAGTGAAGGTATACCAAGTTAGCTTATGCTATCAAAAGCAGTCAAGGAAGATGTGGTGTTCTGTTCTGGCTCCCATACTATCAGCATGGCCTGACTGAGCATCAGTTTTCTAATCTGTAAATTGGAGCTGATAGTATTACTAGTAATACTATAGTGATACTATATAGTACATATAGTATATACTATATAGTATAGATATACTGATAGTAATACTATAGGTGCAGCCTATTTCACCGGATTGTTGTGAGAAATGTGTTCTATGTACAACTAATTAAGAGGAAGTTAAGTGGCCCAGTGGATAGAGTTGCAGGCCTTGGAATCAAGCCTGAATTGGTATTCTGCCTCAGACATTTACTAGCTGTGTGACCCTGTTTGTTCATCTGTAAAATGGGGATAACAACCCATCTCACAAGGTCGTTGAGGATCAAATGAGTTGAAATGCGTAAAGCTATATAAATACTATTATTATTGCTATTACCCTATGAACGTCACTTCTATTGAGTAGATTGTCAGGTCCAACCCACCCTCAAGAAAAGACTTCCTTCACAATCTCCCAAGTTGCAATGGTTCCTCCTCCCCTGCAGATGGCGGTGTGACTCCGGCGCCCTCCCCCTCCCCCCCACCTCGGGCAAGGAAGGAGGGAGCCCTCGGTGGGCGTGAGCCACTGACCACGCTGCGTTCGAGCTCGCGCTCCTTCTCGCGTTCGCGCTCCTTCTCGCGCTCCCGCTCCCGCTCGCGCTCCTTTTCCTCGCGCGCCCGCTGCTCGGCCTCGCGCCGCACCTTCTCCACCAGGTCCGCGCGCTTCTTGGCGAGCTTGGAGCCCTCGAGCGGCACGAAGTACAGGTCGCTGCGCGCGCACGAGTTAAAGCCGCGGTCCAGGTGCTTGTTGAACCTGTTCAGCGGTGGGAAGACGCGCGTGCGCGCGCGACTTAGCCCCCAACCACTTTCCAGGGTGTCCCTCCCCCCATCAGACATCCCCTCTCCTGTACCCCCGGCCCACCGCGGCCCCCGCCCCCGCCGCTCACCGGGCCGACTGGCTGGCGTGGCTGGGCACGTCCACCACCTTGGGTGCCGGCGAGGGGCTTCGGGCGGGGGGCGCGGGGCTCTCGGGGGCCTCGTAGTCCTCGGCCGGCTCCTGCTTGATCTGGGCCGCGCTGAGTGGGGGCGCGGCGGCCGAGGCAGCGCCCGGGCCCGGGGGCAGTGCGGGCAGGCCCAGCGGCCCCACGGCCGGGGAGCCCGGCTTGAAGGCCCCGGGGCCGGCGGGAGGCGAGGCCCCGCGGTAGCCCGGTGGGGTCCCCGTGCGGAAAGCCGGGGGAGAGCCTGGCTTGTAGCCCGGCGGCGTGGCGGTCTTGTAGGCCCCCGGGGACTGGGCCCGCTTCGTGTAGGCCGGCGGGCCGGGCGGCGAGGCCGTCTTGTAGCCGGCCGGAGACGAGGCCACGGTGGCAATGACCGTGGAGAGCGTGGCCGAGGCCGAGGTGACCGGCGGGAAGGAGTATGGGGCGGCCCCGGCGGGGCCCTGGGAGGGCGACGCGTGGGAGCAAGGGTAGGGCCCTTGCGACGAGGACGAGGATGAGGAGGAAGACGAGGATGAGGCGGCTGTGACGGCGGCCCCGCTGCCCGGGCCAGCCTGGCTACTGTAGGGACCCGGGCCCTGGCCGTGGGGCGGGGGCAGGTGCGCCGTCCCGGGTGCGAAAGGCCGCAGGGGGCCCAGGGACGGGGACAGGGAATAGGGGTGGCTGTGGTGGGCGCCGCCTTCGAGGCCGTGCTGGTAGGGCCCGGGGGTGGCCGGGGCCGCTGTGCCCCCAGGCGGATGCTGCTGCGGGGCCTGCTGCTGCTGGGGGGGCGGTGGGCCCTGCTGCTGCTGCTGCTGGTGGTGATGGTGTGCTGGAGGGCCTGGGGGGTGACCGCCGGCCTGACCCGAGCTGGGCGCGGGGAAGGGGGCCGGGTGGGCGTTGCCGCTGTTGGCCAGGAGCCGGCCGTAGGGGGGAGGAGGGGGGCCCTGGCTCCACACGGCCTGGGAAGGCAGGGAGGGCTGGGTGTACTTGGGGGGCTGGCTGGACACCGAGAGGCTCGTGGGCGGTGGGAAGGAGTGCGGGTAGCTGGGCAGTGCTTGGGAGGCCGGGTACTGGGGGCCCGAGGAGGAAGAGGATGAACTGGAAGAAGCTGCAGCTGAGCTGCAGGAGGAGGCATAAGGATACCTCAACGGAGGGGCTGGGGTGGAGGAAGAGACTGGAGGGATGGGGTGGGGCGAGGGAGCCAGGCTAGCGCCTTTATCTGGGCCGGGGGGTAGGCCTCCCATGCCTTGCCCCATAGCATGGGGGGAAGGGAGGTGCCCGGGCAGTGGCTGGACCCCAAGGCCAGGAGATGAGGCAGGGGCATTATTGAGGGGCCGAAGGGCAGGTGGGGGGGGGAGGTTGGGTGCCACGTGGGGAAATGGAGCTGGAGGAGCTGGAGGTGGGTTACCCACCCCACCAGGGGTGGGAGGTGGCTTAGGAGGTGGTCCACCGGCTCCAGGGCCAGATAGGGAAATGGGGGTAGTGGGTGGAGGATGTTGCTTAGGCCCACTAGGAGGCCCCACAGGAGGGGCAGCCCCTCCCCCCTTGGGACCTAATGGGGGCCCAGACAAGATGCCCCCCCCAGACCCTCCAGAATAGAGCTGTGAATGAGGTGGGGGTCCAGGTGGGGCCTGGAACATCCGAGGGCCTGGGGACTCCATGGTAGAGTGGTAGTCAGTGGCCGGCACTGAGGAATGAGGTTCAAAGCCAGGCTCTGGAGGGCGGGGGTTGCTATCTGGGGGTAGGGGAGAGGGTGGGAAGAGGGGGGGTGGATGATAAGGGTGGGCAGGACCCTGGGATAAGCCAGAAGATGAGTCAGAATCATTTTCCACACTTCCAGGGCTGTAGATGCTAGGAGATGTGCTTCGGTTGTCCTGGTCAATGTCCCTTGGGTCACTGCTGGCATCATCATTCAAACTTCGACCATCCAGGCTATCTAGATCAGAGGGTGACTGTGGCCGTGGGAGCTCCTGCTAGGAAGGGAGGAGGTTACCCAATATCAACTGTCCTTCAGTTGCCTATTCTCAAATATCCCCCAGATGCTCTATCCACTTTTTTACTAACCATATTCATTCTCTTGCATTCCTTACCCACTTCAGTCTTGGTACCTAATGTAGCTCTTGGTACATTACTCCTACACTTAGATCTATCTAATAACTCAGCTGGCCTCTCCTCCTCTTATATGTCACTTCATCTCGAATCTCTTGTGTCTTACCAAGAGAGAGCACTGGGTCAGCAATCAACCTAAGTTCAAATCTGGCCTTAGACACTTACTAGTTACATGACCCTGGACAAGTCATTCAACTTCTGCCTGTTTCGGTTTCCTCAATTGTAAAATAGAGATGGTAACAGCACCTACCTACCTACCAGAGTGGTTATAAGGATCAAATGAGCCATTTGTAAAAGTACTTATCACAGTGCCTGGCACACAATAGACTATATAAATACTCATCCCCACTCATCCCCTTCCCTGTTCCCCTTTTCTTTACACTGGCTGTTCTCTATGCACTGGTAAATGCTCCCTTCTCACTTCTACCTCATAGACTTGAACTTCTAGAATCAAACCTTCTACACAAAGCCTGTCCTGATCCTCCCAACTGCTAGTTGCCCACCTTTCAAAATTACCTTGTATTTAATATTTATCTAGAACGTGAGCCCCTTGAGAATAAAGATGGTTTCATTGAATTCCTAATACAGGGTATGACATACAGTAGGCAAGTAAATACTTGTTGATTAATGATCCCCTCTAGAGTTTGTCAGTCCAACACCATTCCCCTAAGTTTGAAAGAGCACCTTTTAAATATTTTCTTATTTCTCATAGGAAGGCCTCCCAATCTAAAACCCTACCACCCCATCCCCACCCCCCCATTCCCCAAGGAAAGAGTTTGGACCTGACGAACAAGCGGGGGGCCCTGGCTGGTAAGGGTTGCTATCTAGGTTCCCTTTTGTCACTTATCTTCTACCTCTCAAGTGTATTCTTCATTTCTTCCTCTGAGAAGTTTTTTTCTACCTCAAGGCTCAATTCTGGTGCTATCTCCTTCCTGACACCACCAGTTTGTGCTTTTCCCCTCTCAAATCTTCATTGTATTACACTTTTTGTAAATGTGTTCCTCCCTCCATGCTACCAAAGGTGCAGGGACTTTTTTTTTAAATTTTGTATCTCAACTGCCTGGAACATAAAAGGATTTAATAAATATTTGTTAGATTAAATCTTTTTTTTTGGTGAGGCATTTGGGGTTAAGTGACTTGCCTAGGGTCACACAGCTACTAAGTGTCAAGTATCTGAGACCAGATTTGAACTCAGGTCCTTCCTGACTCCAAGGCCAGAGCTTTATCCACTGCGCCACCTAGCCATCCCTGGATTAAATCTTGTTGACTGTTCCTCATGACAACCAGAAAGGACCAAGAAGAGAAAGAAGTCTGGCTAGGGTTAGATAATGGGAGAAATGATGGCAGGTGGACTCCTACCTCAGTTTTGGTCTTCTTAGGTGCACTGGTCTCCTCGCCTTCACTCTCTGAGATCTCCTCATTACGACCCTGCTTGCTGGTCTTTGGGGTGGAACACTCCTCTACTCGAGCCTTCTGTTGAAGAGAGAGACTTCTCAGATCCCCTAATTGCCTTTCTGTGTTATACCTTACAAGTCCCATGCTCTGACTCCTCCCCTTTGCCAGAAAAGAGCACCTCCCTCCCACCTCCCCTCAGCAACAAGAGGGCCCCAGGGACAGAATACCTTGGCAGTCTGCCTGGATTTCTCAGCTTTGCCATCACTGCTGGAGGTACTGACCCCACCAGGGGAGGCCCGGCCCCTCAACCTCAGCTCTTCCCTTGGCCCAGGGGCCTCTTTCTTCCGTCCACTCCTCATTGACATCTTATGGAGAGGAGGGCCCAGGTTAAATTCCTTGCCTCTCCCCTTACCTTATTCCCATAACCCAAACCTTCCTCCCTGACCCCTAAACTCATGCTTCCTAGTTCCTTTACTTTCACACCCCTGGTTCAGGCGTCACTCACTGAATCTTTGTTCTGTCGAGTCTTCATTCTTCAGGCTGTGGAGACCCCATTCTCCTCTGCCTGGGTGGCTGAATACATAAATGGCTGTTTTACCCCCAACTTCCCCACAGTTTAGGCCTGAACAGGAAGCAGGCCCTCCCAGGGTTCAAGTGTTAGGCACCAAAGACTGAGTCTCAGAATAAGAATGCTCCTAGAATCTCTCCAACAGGGCCTGCCAGACAGGGGAGGAAAAAAAAGCCATCAAAACCACAGAAAGAAGACCTGGATCCTGAAGAGGAACCCAACTGGTCTAACCATGAGAAAATCTCATTTGTCTGAAAAAGGACTGCTTAGGCTTCATACTAATGGTAACTATTTTAGGGTAATAGATGAACTGCGACAAGTATGTACACATGAACATCCTTGCACTTCATAAAGAGACCCTGATGGATAGACATGAAACCACCATGATCTGCTATGAGACAAAAGGAACAACCATAGCATGCCTATAAGTGAGGGAGGCACGTGATGGCATCAATCTTCAGATATCAAAGAAACTACTTTGAAGCAGGAAACACCAGTCCATAGGACTGACCTAGTTCTTCACACTCCCTAAAGAAGTGTGAAGGAACCTGTAGTCAGTAGGGCGTGAAGGGATGATGCTGGCTAGAAAAAAAAAAAGGGACCTGATGGAATTCCAAAGTGAGTTTCTAAAACTATTTCATCTCTGGACCCTTAGTATTCCCAAAGCCAGAGAGGAAGTAAAAAACAGCTGCTTTATTGGGGGGAGGAGGCAGCAACAGATAGATCTTTTATACCCTTCTAGATATAGGTATTCATGGGCCCAGACCCTGATCACAGGTCTCGGACCCTTATGTCGTTATATTGCATTTTATCAGCCCCTATGCTTAGTCATATTTGAGCTGAAATGAATCCATTCTCCACTGCCGAGTTCCTCTCATGGCAACGGCCAGTAGTGCATGTTTTTAATTGAGCAATTGAGGGGTCAGAATAAGTCTGCATACCCATAAAAATAGATCATACCTTTCCACCTGCTTCAGACACTAGCTGTGTGACCCTGGCAAGTCACTTAACCTCTGTCTGCCTCAGTTTCCTCATCTGTGAAAAAAGGAAGTTCATCTCAATGGCCCCTATAGTTTCTTCCAGCTCTAAATCTCATAACCAATACAAAGCCTTCCAATATTTGAATACACATAGTTCCACAACAATTTTATTTTTATTTTTTCACTTACCACTGTTTTTAGTTACATTTCCTCCCCTAAGTGTATGTAGCCTATCTCCCTCATAAGATCTTTCGCAACATTCCAGTGTCATCAGTTGCTAGCTATGTGACCACAAGCACTTAACCTCCCAGCGTCATTTTCTTCATCTGTAAAATGGGCATCATAATACTTGCACCATCTGCCTCAAAGGCTAATGTGCTTTGAAATCTCAAGGTGTATAAATGTCAATTATCCTGTCATTCAAAGTACAGGATTTAAGAGTGGATGCTCAATCTATGCCATTGACCTTCTGGCCCATTGCCTGAAGGAAATAGAAAGGAAGGAAGCCTTTCTGAATTCAGTGAAATTATTTTCTTTTCCATGAGGTTGCTGGCCCCTATGAAAGGCCACAAAGTGAAGTTACCCACCCAGCCAAGACTTTGTGGCAAAGTTAACAATATCTTTAAACTCCCATAACATCTTGGCCCAAAAAACTAGATGCTAGACAGAGCACCTACTTAACAGATGTTCTTTCAGTCAGTTTCACTCTATCCTTTTAAGACCTGGAGGAATGGAAATGATTCGTCTCATTTTACAGATGGGGAAAGAGGCCTAGGAAGGATACATGATTTGCCCAAGGTCACATAACACCATCATCTGGTGCTTTGGCTACTAGATTATACTTTCCTCACCTGTACTCTTGCCAATTAACATTTAGATGTTGTTTATGATTTTCAGAATACTAGGTATCAACCTAGAAAATATAAATCAGATACAATGTGGGGGTAGGAAATTTCAACACAAAACTACTACAAAGATGAATGTGTCCATCTTGTCTTTGCCAGATGTCAGCTCCATTCTCTAGATGGTCCCATCTCTCTTGGTGTTTCTGTTCATGACCTACTACTACTATAACTTATTCCCTGAATCCCCAAATTAGGTAGAGGTAGCACTAGTGTGGGTCCTCATCCCTATGTTTATACAAATAAATCAAGTTAAAATGAGTAAATACCAAGAGCAGCCTTGAAGAGGAAAATAAGTCACTAAGGAGAAACATTACTGCCTGATTGGGGCATCCAAAAGTTTCTTCGGTTGGATAAGTGGTAGGGGGTGTTCAATACATAAGAGCCTCTTTTTTTCTAAGCATCAAATAGTAGAGTCACTTCTTTCCTAGCAGATAGTCACCTGGGCAGAGAGAGGGGAAGGACATTCAGAGGTGAAGCAGTAAGACCAGAGATGGGGTAGCACAGAGAGAGAAATGAGTAAAGGCAAAGAAACTTTGAAAGGGGAACAGGAAAACCTGAGGAATCAATGAGGAAAGGGGATCAAGAATATAGAATTAAGGGGGCAGCTAGTAGGCACAGTGAATAGAGCACCAGCCCTGGAGTCAGGAGGACCCGAGTTCAAATGTGGTCTCGGACCAGACACTTGACACTTACTAGCTATGTGACCCTGGGCAAGTCACTCAATCCCAATTGTCTTGCCAAAAAGATGCATATGTAGATAGATAGATAGAAAGATATAGATATATATATGTATATATATAAAATCAAGCCAGGTACCAGTCTAGGAGAGCCTGGTGTGAAGACTTCAAGGACCCTTGGCCTAAAATCCATTGCTCTGCCAGGCTGTACAGGAGTGACAACTTAAACCAACACTTAGAGCAACCTTCCAATGACAATGTGACCTCTATGTGAAGACCAAACATTGGCCAGGGTTTTTTGACCTACAAATAACCCTACCATCTCACTTCCTGTTGCTCTTACAAAGGACATTCTCACCTGGCAAAGGTGGAAAAATGGTGAGGCCATCAGTATGGAGTCAATGAGATGGCAGGTAGAAGGACTAATAAGGGAGAAAATCATTGTGGAGTTGGCCTGGAAAGAGGTAGAGAGATATTTGGGATAAAGCAGAGTTGGTATATGAGAAAATGGAGGGATAGCTGTGGAACCACTTGAGGAAGTCTCTGAAGCAATAGAAAAAGGGTAGAAGTGATTTTGGCAAAAGCATATCTGCTATCAACTCACTGTGCTTTAGAGAAGGAACATGGTGAATGTCCCTGTAAATTTTCCACCTTTACTGCAGACAGAGATCATCAGAAGGCTGGAGAATGGGGATAATGTTTCCTGTGGAGTCCTTACCCAAGATGGAGATGCCCAATCCAACAGCCAGAATAAAATTTGGCTAGCCTTATTGGTAGTTGTTTGTGGGAATATAGGACCCTAAGGAATAAAGCCACCAACAGTTGTCTAACCAAGTGTCTCCCACAAACATGACCACCCTACTGGACCAAGAAGAAACTCAGCTAGAGGCCCCACTGCCATGGAAACTCAACAGTGGAGTCCCACTGAGAGTAGGCCCCAGGGGTTCATCTAGAAGCCTAGCTGCCAATACTCCCAGAGTTGCCACAACCAAGAAGTCACTGGGCCCACCCCAAACTCCTGCCTTCCAGGGAAAGAGGTTCATAAGGTGTCTGGCCTTATTAAGAATGAGTCCCTTAAGGGTCTTTAGATTGGAAGGCTGTGGTATAGAAGAAGCTCTGCACCATGGCTGGAGGGTACAGGATGGCACTGTGAGGAATTGGGGGCTGGGAAGAACAGGCTGAATACCTGAAGACCCAATTTGCTTGAGCTACTCTACTATGCTGATGAGTACTCCCACTGCCTTCCTGCTTTCCTTTCTCTATGAAGTCCCTTCTGCACACCCCAGATATTTCCCTCTTTGCCCCTGACTTTACTGATCAGTTTTGGGGAGATTCTGCCCCCACACCCTGATGCCTCTGTACTTAGATGTGTTTGGAATAAGGAAAATAGAGGTACAGATGACTTTCAGCCTGAAAAAAGAAGACTGAGCATCAAAGCCATGCACGGCCCCCCAAAAACACCTGACCTCAGAGAGTCCCTTTCCTTACCCCCTTTCCAGTCTCTGATTTTCTCCAGCTTTTACAGGCTTCAAACTCCTTTTCTTATTCTATCCTCTATTTAGCCTATCCTTAACCTCTCATCTTCCCACCTACCACACCCCCTCCGCATTTGCTACCTATACCTACCTGCCCTGAAAAACCTTTTTGGGGGTTCTCAGACCTTCTTGTGTGAACCACCCCATACATCACTATTATCCCACCTTCTCCCCAGCCTCCCGTGCCTTCACCCCTGCACCCCACGGACTCCTTTTTTCCCCCTTCATCTTCCCTGTTTTTTCTCCTTGCATTCCCTGTTCTCCCTTGCACCCCAACCCCCTCCCGGACCCCGTCTCCTCGCCAAGATTCTCCCACCTTTCCTGTAGCCCCGACATTTCCAAGCTCTTTTCACTTTCATCTCTCCTATTCCCCCCCATCCTGTGTTGCCCCACCCCCGCATTCTCGGGGACCCCACAACCTGTCCCCTCCCCGCAACCTCTGTTCCCCCCCGCCCATCCCCAGGCTCCGGACAGGCAGTGCCTGCAATGGGCGGGGGAGGGGGAAAGGGGGGGTGGAGAACCTTAATCGAAGAAAATAACAAATGGAGGAGACGCCGGCGGCAGCGACTGGGGGTGGGGTGTGCGGGGAGCAAGGGTGGGGTGGCGGGGGAGGGGGAACAGCAGGCCCGGGACCGGGGATCTGGGGACTCGGGCTACGGCAGCTCTTACCCGGTCCTGGCTCCGGACGGCAGGCTCCTCTGGGGTGGCACTCAAGGCTCCGGGGGGCGGCGGCGGCGCCCCGATCCCCCTCTTTCCCCGCCCCGGATTCAGTCGCCGCGGCGGCGGCTCCGGGCCCCCGCGGGGGCGGCCCCCATCCCCCTGGCCGATCGACCGCCCTCGGAAGCCCCCCGCCCTTGACTCCCCACTTTGCCTCGCCCCCCCCGCCCCGCGGCCGCCTCCCCCGGCCCCGACCCCGCTGGCCCCAGCCTGCCCCTCCCGGGGCCCGCCGCCGCTGACACCGCTGCCTTCCCGGGCCCGGGGTCCCGGCCCCCTCCGAGCCCGAGCCCTTCCCTCTCCTCCTCCTCCTCCTCCTCCTCCTCCTCCTGCTTCTCCTCCCCTCCGCCCTCCGCTCTACCGCCCCTCTTCTGGTCCGATCGCCGCCCCCCTCCCGAGCCCTTTCTCGGATCCGATCCTGCTCCCCAACCCCCCCAAAAATGTGTCCCAGAGAGAGGCCCCCGGGCCGGCGCGGGCTGCGGGCGGGCTCCGCCGCGCGTCCGGAGACTCGCACAGGAAAGCGGGAGGCGAAGGGACGAGGAGGGGAAGGGAGGGAGCAAGAGAGAGGGGGATGGGAGAAGAGAGGAAGAGAAGGAGAAGGAGGGAGAGAGGAGGGAAGGAGGAGAGAGGGAGAGAGGGGGCAAGGAGGAGGGAGGGAGGGGGGCGGGAAGGGGGGCGCGAGGGAGGTGAGAGCGAGAAGCGGGGAGCAGGGGAGTGGGGAAGGAGCGAGGCGGGGGAGAAAGAAAGGGGGGAGTCTGGAAGGAGTTTAGGGGTGATGGAATGTGAGCGAGATATGAGAGTGTAGGGGAGACATGGGAGGAGTTTGGGGGGCAGCGAAGGAGTGGATGTGGGAGAAGTGGGGGATCGTAGGAGAAATTTGGGGTGAGGTTTGTTGGGGGAGAACAGGAGAGTATAAGAGGAGTTCGGTGGGTGATGAAGTGTGTAAGAGTGAGATGGGGGGAGTGTGGGAGGAGTTTGGAGGGTAAGGAGGTGGGGGCGGAATTGGGGGGTGGGAGGAGTTTGGGGGTGACGGGGGGGTATGTGAGGAAGAGATAAGAGACTGAGAGTTTGGACGGTGAGGGAGGTGGGGGAGAAGTTTGGGGTGATACAGCAATGTGGGAGAAAGATGGGGCTGTGGGATAAATTTGGGGGGTATTAGGGAAATGTGTGGGAGAGATACGATAGTAAGGTAGGGAGAATGAAGGAGCAGTGTCAGAGAGGAAATGAGGAAAAGATGGGGCTAGACGGGAATCCTAGGGAGAGTTAGGGGAAATAGAAGAGAAGGGAAGAATAATAGAAATATGGTGGGGAGCTAGAGGGGTCTATTAAGGGAGATGGGACAATATAAGTAAGATGGAAATATAAAAATGATGGAAGAAAATCGATGGATAGTGGAGGCAAGACAAGGAGACTGAGGAGTTGGGGGAAACAGGAAAATAGGGTAAGAAAAGGGGAAAATCTGAGGTTATTGGGAGGGAGATGGTGAAACTTGGGGGAAAGATGAGGTCAGTGAGGAAAGGTAGAGATTTTAGGGGAGGCAGGGTGGCTAACTGGGTCACCCCTGAGTTCTGGCTGTCTTCTATCCTCTCCCCTTTTTGTGGCCTGTCTTACCCTGTCCGCAGCAGAGGTCATTCAGGCCACAAGAAAGGACAGAAATGGGGTGGGGGTGGGGAGGAAAAGGGGAGGATAAGCAGCTCTTTGAATCAAACTCTGAAAACCATTTTCAAGTCCCAGAAATGTCTCTAGCACCCTCCGGCCACTGTTCTGCCCCTCCCACCACCAACCCCTTCCCTTTACTAGTAGTCCTGGAAATATTCCCCTCATTCCCTTCATTGCCCCAACACTCAACCCCTTCAGAGCCCAACCTTTCTGTCTCCCTTCCCCTGTTGCCAGTCTGTCTGCCTTGGTCTCCCAGCCAATGCCCCCACCATGACCACAACTCTCCTATTCCATCCCTACAGTCCCTCCCGACCATCTTCTCCAGGTTTATCTCCCCCATCCCACACCCAGCTGTCCCATCTCCCAGGACAAAGGACCTAGAAACCCTGGGTGATTTTTTGGCTGCAGAGACTGAGAAGGCCAGAGGGAAGTGGAGGGAAGGAGGAGGAGGTAGCTGGGAAATAAGAAGAGCTGGACCTGGAGTTTCTGGATTTGGAATCCCCTACTCCTCCCTGGATTAGGGTTGGGAAGTCAGGAGAAAAATATATGGGAGCAGGCCTCGCCAGAGGCAAAAAATATTCAGTTCCTGGCCATCAGGGTCAGCTTTGCCTGCTGGGGTGGGAAGGACAATGCACTCTGGGACCCCTCCCCCAGACTTCTGTCCTCTCCACTTTCCCCAGGCTTGTCTAGGGGGCAAAGATGGTGGTGATAGTGGGACTGAAAATGTCAGACAGCATTCCAAACTGCCGGGATACGGACACAGCCGAGGAAATAGTCCCAAATCTAGTAAATCGGTTGTATACCCTCACCCACTCAAATTTTCTCTCTCAAATCTCATTCTTCCTCTTTCTTCTTCCCCTCCTTTGGGATCCAATTATATTCCTTCTCCCCTATTCCCCTTCAGTCCTATGCCTTTGGACAGTACTTCATACCTTACATGTTGAAGGGCTTCTCCCATTACATACACCCAACTTCCCTAAGTCCCCACCAAATTCTGCATTTTTCTGCATCAAACTGGGCTTGGCCTTCCCTACCCCACTTCAAGTCTCAGCTTCAAGCCTTCTCCTCAGTCTTCGGGTTTTCTCTACAGACCACAGAGGGGTGGGGCAGGGGAGGATAGAATGGTAGCTACCTCCAGGCAAAGAATGCATTTGGGTGGTGGGTGTGGGGAGGGGGCGGGGCATGATAGAGACCCATCTAAGGTTGTAGACATTGTAGAGAAATTAGGTTATTTCTTTCTTCCACCCTCAACCAGCTGCAAGAGCCCCCCACCCCAATCCTTCACACCATTTCTCTCCACCCCCACCCCCCAGCCAGTGGTCACCAAGCAACCACACAAAGGGAAAGTGGAGAGAGGGGCCTGGGAGGCCCAGCAGAGCAGAGTTAGTAACCCAATCCTCCCTTATACCTGGGAGAGAGAGGGAACAGAAAGGCTTGTGGAGAAGGGACAGGGTTGGCCGGGCAAAGAGATGAAAAGAGGAGTGACTAATGGATGAGGAACAGGCAGTAAGTATAGAGAGAACTAAGAGGTGAAGAAGGAATGAATGAGTCACAGGAAGGGGCAGCTATTTAAGACAAGGGTAGAGAAAAGAATATGAAGCAAAAGACACAGAAAGACTAAGAAAGAGAAAATAAGACAGCAAAGTCCCTAACATTTGGATGATGGGTGTGTGACCCCTGCCAGGCCAGGCTGAGGGTCCAGGAAGGGAACCAATGAGGGAAACAGACCCTGTCCACTAGGAACTAGACCCCCTTTTTTTCCCTTTTTTCCTTTTTTTTTTTTTGCAGCAGCAGCAGGGTGATAGAAGAGGGTGAGGGAAGAGACGATTTCAGGCTAGAAAAGGAGAGGGTAATGGGGGAAACCTGCGTAGACTATACAATAGCTCAGAATTCCCTTGAGCGCTCCAGGCCTTGGTCCCCAGAGCTCGTGTTTCATGAACCCTGTCTCCCTCTAGCGGTCACCAGACCAGGCCTTGGTTGGGAGGCGCCCTCTTAAAACAGAACGTTATAGGGGCTCTAGATTGAAAAGGTCTCTTACTCTGGGGCCCCCTTGTCTGGGGTGTTCTCTAGGAAATGAAGAAGGAAAATTGGAAATAGTTGATGAGTGTGTTCTGATCCTCATAGGCCCTAGGGAATCCATCCCTCCTGTTTTTGAAGGGACTCAGACTTCATTCAATCTCCCCTATATTTCAATTTATGTACAGACATCCCAATCCAACACCCCACTCCCCTTCCAGGCCCCAGGGAGTTTCCCCATTCCCCAAAAGACAGCTGGCTTTGGGACTTGTATGGTCCTCCATGCTTTACCCCAGGGGTCAGCTGTGGTCCTGCTTGGATGGGAGCCCAGTGAGGGGGCAGTCGGGGCCAAAGTGTCTCTCTGAAGTACATTATTGAGAAGTAATGGGCATTTCAGGATTCTAGCTCTTGAACCCCATCTTGGCCATACTAACCCAGTCTTCTTTCCCCCTCCCCACCTTCACACACATTCAGACTGGCACACACACACTTGCCCCCACCCTCTCTATTCAGGGATTCTCATCTTGAGGCACTGTTGCTCTTTGTTTCCCTGTCCCCAGCCCACTTGCTTCATATGTGATAGTGGGGTACAGACTTCTCAGACACACGGGGGCTGTGATTCAGACTTTAATGACAGTGGTAATTGTGGGAAGCATGGAGATGGTGGTGACTCGGGTAGGTGGCAATGGGGGGGGGAAGGAGAGGCATGGCTCTGCTACAGCTGGGGAAAAGATGAGGGAGTCTAGGGAAGAACCTGGGGATTTTGGGCTAGGGAGGGATCTTTAGCTGGGGGAGGGGTCCCCACACATAAAGGAGGTAAAGGGTAGGATATTTCCTTTTACCCTTCCCATTCCTGCTATACCTCCTTACCCATGGTCACTATGGCACAAAGCTGAATGAGACATGGAAAAATAGCCCTCTGTGACAAGACATGCTCAGTCCTTAGGGTTCCAAGGAAATAATAAATAAATAAACAAAATAAATAAATATTACATAAATAATTTCAAATTAGGCCTTGCCCCATGTGCCAACATAAATAACATGCCAAACTCACGCAACACACATCCAACATACAAGACTGCACACATAACATTTCAGTTCATGGGACATGTGCAAAATGGATAGCATTCAGAACCAAGACATACCCACACAAGCAGAAAGCATGTGTAACTTCTACCCTAGCCCCTCTCCAAACATCTTGTATAATATACCCTGATCCCATCACTGACCCTGATACTCAGACTAAGCCCCTTCCAGAGCCAACTCTCTTCTGCAGTTCACATTCCCCTCTCCAAGTGAGAAAGGAGAGAAAGTAAGTGTAGAGAGGGGCAGGAAGCTAAGAGCAGTACGACCCCAGGAAAAGGACTGTTCAGGAGAATGGGGAGCGTGGAGTTGAAAGAGAAGGCC